GTAATTTTTTATTTCAATTTTAGGTTGTAGCTTCTAGAAGTGTTAATATACCTGTCACGCCTAATTTAAATGCCAACATGTCGGGATTTTTACCAATTCACTGTGTTTTACAGTTACTTAAAAGCCAAGCTTTTACTAAACATCGTGTTAACATTAAAACATGGATATACAAGTATACATGCTATAACAATTTACTAATAATTGTAACATATAAATTGAGTTATTTTGTTTTCTAGCCAAATTTGTGCAAGTGTTTCACCATTACATCCATTATTACCTTCATTAATTGAAGCTTATGTTACTTCTATATTAGTGGTACCCAATAAAGCTACTCAAGAATTAGCTGTTAATCAACCGATTACAGAAGAAGAAATTTTAAAAGTTTTTGGTAATAAAGTATTAGACCAAACTGATAATGAATCTTTTACAGCYCATCTTCTATTGCTGTATTATTTACTCTTATAYGAAGAAAATAGTATGTCTTTGGCTTCTCAGCCCAATAGATTACAGTTAGTTGGATTAGTCAGGTACAAAACTGAATTCTTGGCTGAYATCCCTATTCGATATATAGTCCAACAAGCAGAAAAAGAGCATCCATATTCTAGTTTGTTTTCTACTTTGTTAAGACTTTTGGCTACACATTTTCCTCATTTATCTCTAGTCGATGACTGGATGGAAGATACAACATCAGAAAGTCAATTTGTATTACAACATAAAGCTAAAAATATTACTACAGAACTGATAGAAAATGGTATGATAAAATAATTCATWTTCAACAACAAACTTGTTTTTTAAATTGAACATGGTTTTAGGTTTAAGTGTGATGGTTGAACGTCCAGAACGAGCTGGAATCGTATTGAAAAGATTGTATGCAGAACGTCCTATTAAAATTTGGCCATTTGCACCTACCATATTAAAATTCTTACCAAACACATTAGATTCTAACGTTTCAAGATATATTCAAGGTAAAATATTGTTGGTAAATGTAAATTTAAGATGAATAATGAGACTGGYATGGCTGAGTAGTATAAAGTTGCTCTTCTAATGCACACCAAACCAGGCTTTTGGGTCTAAACCTAGTCAAAATGTACCATACACAAAAAAATTAAAAATAATATTGAATTATTTTTATTTCCAGAACTATATAAAAAAGTGTGGTTAAGACTTAATACAGTCTTGCCTCGCAGTTTGTGGGCACTTACTATTAAGGCTTTACAACATAACAATGGAGCAAGTGCATTGAAAGAAGAAAATTTAATTCAGGACCCTTTACAAGTTTTGCAATGTGATGCCAGAGTTTATAGGTAAGATTTATAAATTTAGTTCTACTTCAATTTAATTATACATGTCATTTATTCAGGTGTCCAACAGTTTTAAGTATTGTAATTAGAGTGTTGCAATCATCATTAGCAGCTTCAAGAAGTCATTTATCTCGCCTAGTAAATCAAAAATTATTTGTGACTGGACAACTAACTCAAACTAATAATCGTGAAGAATATAAAAATGTGTTGACAGCTGCACAAGATAGTGCTGCAGTACAACTTTTATTAGAAGCTTGTTTGGAAACTGAAGATGATCGAGTAAGCTTATCTACTTAAAAATTTAGTTGAGATTAAGTAAAAATTTTGTAGGGCATTTTAAATACTTTATTATTTTTTAATTTACTAATATTTAACTGATTCAAATTGAGAAACACCTCTGGAAGTCCACTAGTGTGTTTAGTCGTGGCTGTAATAACACAACATAGTAGACTTGGTAGGAAATTGCCTCACTAAAACTGGTTGCTACATGTGTAGCCAAGTTTATTTTGAAAAGATTAATATGCTCTTATTAATTTGTTGATTTACTGAATAACTCAATTGTAAATTTTGGTAAATACTTAGTGTTCTAAAAGTATCAATTTAGATTTTGACAATATCTACCAAGTCTTACATCAATTTGTTCTTGTTTTTTACGTTTAAAAAGAAAATTAATTTTTCTGTATTTACTTTAAGAACTCTAGTTTGTAAATAGAATTCTAATCATTTTTGATCAGACTGAGATCAGATCTCAGTGTTTGGAAATTTCTGAAATATATTAATTAAAAATTGCATCAAGGTTAACATATTAAAAAGTGCAATTTACTCATTGTCATTGTATTCTGTTTGTACCTTTTTCATTTTTTATTTAACTTAAAACTAAGGTAACTGAAATTTCAAGTATGGTGCTGAATAATAAAATTATTCCACCATTTCATATTCAAATAATATTTAAGTGTCTATATTTATTATTTGAAGAATATCCTTTCTGATAGTATATAACAATTTTATTTATTCCAAAGAAATCATTTTCTAACATGATGACATTAAGAGAAGTACGAGGTGTTGTTTGTTCATTTTTACATCAAATGTTTATTGCTGATCCTCCACTCGCAAAATTAGTTCATTTCCAGGTATCTATAAATTTTTATTTATTATACAGTACTTAATATTTTTTACCATCAGGTTTTTTTATTTCAATTTMAATTTTTTTATATTCAGGGATATCCTAGAGAATTACTTCCAGTTACCTGTCTAGGAATTCCTTCCATGCACATTTGTTTAGATTTTATTGCGGAACTTCTTAGTCAACCAGATTTCCAGAAACAGATATTTTCGATTGATCTAATTTCAAATATTTCCCAACAGTATCCATTACCAAAATCGTTAAGCTTAGCACGTCTAGCTATTAACACAATGTACACATTTCTGTCTGGTAATATCAAAAATATATTATTATAATCTTATTAAATTTTTGAATAATAATAATAATAATCACTACTTTATTATAGTATTAACTCAAGAAGATCGCCGAGAACTCTATATGCCTACACTTCCTGCATTAGTCAGAATATGTCAGGTATTTCCCACCCTTAGTGAAGACTGCATAACATTTTTAAATCAACTGGGTCGCATGTGTGTGTCAGTTACATCTGTACGTTCGGATATATTTTTACTTCCTGCTGCTGCCCAAAGAAGTGAAGAAATGGAGGGACCAAAACTTAGAATGCGACGAGTTCCTAAACCAGATATCTTTGATGAACGTACAGATATTGCTGTGGCTAATAAATTATTTGCTCAACAGGTTGAACTAACTGTTAAAGAAATATTACAGAATTGTTTGGAAAATAATGCAAGTGCTTGACCATTTTTATTAATGTTTTCATAACAATATTAATAAATAGCTAATAAAAAATATATAATCCAAATAAAATTGATGTATTAAAAATAGGTAATATATGATGTAAATCACCAGATCTTACCACATTAGAATATGTATATTGTTTTAAAAACTGAGTATAAAAAT